AGTTCTCTAACGATCCTTTGCTTGACTAAAGGCTATTCTAAGCTCGTCTGTACGAGTAACGAACCGCTCTGCCTAGCATTTGCCTAAAGGCTCGCCATCTCGTTCGCGTAGTAGTTTCTCCGCCATATCTGCTACTTCATATAGACGGGGGGGCAAATCCTCGCGAGTCTAGGTTAAGAATATATCGTACGATAGTTTGCTCTTTAGACTTAGTTAGCTTCTAGCAATTTAGCTGTGTTGTAGGTCAAAAGGTGATTCCTTAAAGCCGCCAAGATATCTGCTGATGATGGACGTTGTAGGCTGCTGTAGCGCGTTGAATGCTCTTAAACTGGCCTGTACGATAGGCCTGAACAGCTAGAGTAAGCCTACCTTCTTGCTAAGTTAATATCGCGTTCTGTTGTTGGGGCATTATCTTTCGTACGTGAAGTTCGTGATGCCAAGAAAAAGTGGCACACTCGGTGATGTGGCCCGCTTGGTGATAGAATACGTTAGAATAAGTAGAGCGTTATATAAATGCGTATATGATTAAGGTTATATAAATAGATAAGTAACTACTCTTATAAGAATTATTCACTATAAATATAGCTATTAGCGCTACGTGAAGTAAAAGGTAGTGTAACTATCAGGTTTATAAATTTTAAAATCATATATTCTAAGTAATTATATTTTGAGTTATATAGCAGTAGTAAGTTATAATGATAGTAGAGTAGTTGTAGTGGTAAAATACTTATATAAGCTTTTGTCCAACATATAAAACATTGATTATTTTATAGTATATATTTGCTACTACTTTTACTAATAACTTCATGGCCTTATTATTTCAGTAAAACTTATAAAGTGTCAATATAATTATATTATTAGATAGTATAAGTACGTTAGAGAATTGTGATTAATCTATAAGCCCGTAATAGTACTAGGCGTATTCATTACGTTTTATTATCGCTAAAGATAAACTAAGTAACGTGGTTCACAAGTAAGTCACTAACCCAAGCGAGTCGCTAACGCCCCATTACTACATCTACATCAACACTTTATTATAGTTTTTCATCATAGTTAATAAACTATTGCAATATATTAAGTTAATTATTAGAATAAGTACTATTACTTACACTATCTATCTTGACTATGTAAGTATAAGCGTTATGTCTAGTCCGCTTACAACGCCCGCACTACCACTGTCCTTACACCCTCTTTAACGCACTCTTACTATTACTATAAATACTACCTGCCTATTTAGCTAATACTTTTTGTACTTTACCTATAGTAAGAGTCTTTTCTATTTGTACGTATCGCCACTTGCGGCTTTTACGCTTACTTAACTTATTAAGAGCTACTTAAAGTATACCTATTTCCTCGATTGTAAGCGTTATTTTATATGCTATTTGCTAGGCTCTCATACTTAGCTACGCGATCTACTTAGGAAGTAAATTAGTAGAAGACCTATAGCGTTTTCTTACGCTCTTTTAAATAAGACTAATTTAAGACTTGACTTTGCGCCCGTTGCGTAGTGTCTACGCCTGCTAGGTAGCTACCTATTGCGGTAATTATATAGGTATCTACACTACCACATTAAGCTTAGATAGCACAGCCTATAGGTTATGTGGGACTAGACTAGCGCCTCTAAAGCTAGCTCAGATATTCTCCTTTGTAATAGACTGCTTAAAAGCAGTCTTAAAGGCTAGTAGGAAGGTCTCTTTATTAATATAGTAGGTGTAGTTGCGTACTAAGCCTAAAATAGTGTTACTATACTTGCGCTTTGATAGCGAGAAGTAGGCAACTTTAAGAGGCTGTAATAAGTAAGACGAGTGCGCAGGCATGTAGAGAAGCATAAAATTCTTCTCCTTGCAAAGATCTTAGAAATTAATAGAGCAGTAGCTCTTATAGCTATTAATAATAACTAGTTAATATCTACCTATAGTAGAGCTCTTTGTATAGGTGTTAAAGTGCTCTAAATAGGCAAGACTAAGCTAATTATTTGTCTAGCTATTAAGACTAACTTTAAGAACCTAGTTAGTAGGCTAATTCTTAAACTAGACGTTAATAAGCACCTTGCCTATAAAGACAATAAAGGGTGGTATTTAGCAACCTAACGCGCCTATGCCTGAGATTATAGTAACTCTACTTATAGTTGTCAAACTATATCTGCTTCTTTTTTCCATATTCTTTTAATGCTATAATAACTAACTATAATAAAATCTTGCCTAATATTAAGCTAGTCTTATCAGAGTTTTAGACATTATTGTCTATAATACCCTACTTCTACTTTGTTGCCTAGACTAAGTTGAACTAGCGCTGGATAGCTACTCAATTCTTATAGGCGGCTTGCTAGTGATTATAGAAATAGCTCTAGCGCGTATACAGCTTAGAAGTCCACTTAATAAAATTATTAACTTAGTTTCTGCTAATCAGGTTACTACTACGCTTTTTTAATAGTTTATTAGCTATTACTTAAAAGTTAGGCTTTATAGGCCCAAATCCTTGCGTAGACTTTTTAAAAATACGCTTAACTATAGCCTCCTCTTCTAGCTTATCTAGACGCTTTAATTTTAGCTTATTGTCGCGTTTAGGGCGCTTTTTAGCGTGCCAGCTAGATAGAGTTCTTTATAGGACGTTATAGATACTAGTAGCATAGTTTATATTCTAAAAATGTTATGACTAGACGTTAAAAGGAGTAAGTTAAAGATTAGATTTAGAATATATCAATAGATAGTTGCGTTGTCAAGATATTACGCGTTATAGTGATAAAGTTGATGGGCTAGTAGGGCGTTAGCGACTAGCCTAAGTTAGCGACTCACTTGTGAACCACGTTAGGTATTATTTTTAATTATACTTACAATAAGCTACTTACGTTCATTGTTAGCGCGTAAAATGTCATAAAAACACAAAGACAAAATCTTTAAATTAATACAACAAAGCCCATAGCTAGAAAGTATTATTATACTTAAAAAAAGCCCTATGTTGAATATACTAAATTGCTCTAGCGATTAAAATCTATTACTAGTAAATACTTTTTCAGTTAACAGTAATTTAAACAATACTAATTGTGGTAAGCATATAATAACGCTATACTTAAAATATTTGTGTTACTACAGGTCAAATTATAGAGCTAGAATACTATAAACAAGTATTATTATATATTATTAAAGATAGCTATATAGAAGCTATAGAATTGGAGGTTAAAAAACCTGTCTATAAAAATACTCAAAATTTAGTTCTAGAATCTAATATCAATGATAAGAATTTTGAAGAAGGCTAAGTTTTAAAGAAAGAATTAAACCTAAACAGTTCGAATTAAAAAATATAAAGCTAAATAGGTTAGTTAAGGATTTCTATGAAAATACAATAAAGAGGGATAGTGTAGGTGGTTTTTTTTTCTTAATTTTTTCCTACACCTAGAGCTGATGTCAGAGTTTAAATCTGTTTCCTCTCTTAAAAAACAAAAAGAAAAACAAAGGAACCTGCCGATGAGTATCGTATTATTCTTTCTTTGCTATATAGCTTAAATTTAGCTCTTATAGCTAAATAGCTTAGAAAATCTTTTAGTTCTTTTATTACTAATGAGGCAAAATAGGTATAGGTTTAATAGATGTTTATTGCTATAGAAGCTTCTCCTAAACTCTATCTACAGTAATAAGTCCTCTTTATGTAACATAGTTTAGTAGATATCTGGAGGTAAATAAATATCACGCGTATATTTATAAAACAAAACAACATAATATAAATTATAAAGAAACTTTTAGTTCTATCGTGGTTCACAAGCGAGTCAATCACCCAAACGAGTCGATCACGCTCCACCAGCGCGTTGACGTCGACACTACAACGCGTAATAACTCAACAACGTCCTACTTAGACTTTCTATACTAAATTAGATCTTTAACTTGCTCTCTTTAACTCCTAATTGCAACGTGTTCTGAACTAAAGACGTGCTGCCTCTATCTATAACGTGCCTTAAAGTACTCTATCTAACTAGCGTACTAGAAAACGCCCCTAACGCAACTGCGAGCTAAATTTAAAGCGCCTAAATAAGCTAGAAGAGGAGGCTATAGTTAGGCGTATTCTTAAAGAGTCTGCGCGAGGATTTGCGCCTATAAAGCCTAACGTTTAAGCAATAGCTAATAAACTATTACATAAGCGTAGGAGCAACCTTGTTAGTAAAAACTAGATTAACAACTTTGTTAAGAGGACTCCTGAGCTCCACACGCGCTAGAGCCGTCCTTACGATCACTAGCAAGCTATCTGCAAGGACCTAGCGGCTATCTAGCGCTAGTTTAACTTAGTCTAGGCGACAAAGCAGAAGTGGGGTATTGTGGACAA